CCGAACCCCAGCGTGCGGCGCGCTAGCGTGCCGCCGGCCCCCCCGCCGGCTGCCAAACCCCTGGCTGTGCAGAGCTTCGAGGTGAGGGCGGGAGGTGTGGTGGGGCCCCGGCCTCGCTGCTTGGGCAGGGCAGGCACAGGGCCAACCCGGGAACCGCATCCCCGTCTGCAGGTGAAGGTGGGCAAGTCGCAGCGGGCAGCCCTGACGGTGGATGTGGAGTCGGGCACGGTGGCCATCACCAAGCGGGGCAGCGGGTCCCCGGAGGAGACCATCCCGCAGGACAAAAGTAAGGGGCTGCTGACCCCCCACCAGCTGCCGATGGGGCGCTGCGGGGCCGTGGGACTTCCTGGCACAGGTCTGATGCCAGGGTGATGGGCTGCAGACCCATTCGCACCCCAAGCCCCCATCCCACCCTGCCTGCTGCCCCTGTGGCGGAAGGCGGGAGGGCCACCATTGCCCCCCTCATGCCCCGCGTTCAGTCCTGCAGCTGATCAAATACCAGAGTGTGCAGAGCAAGGTGAGGCTGGTGTACGACCGGGAGCCACAGAAGAGCCTGAGCAGAGACTTCGTCTTCCCCAATGCGCGGGTAAGCGGCACCGGCTGCGCTCACTGGGTGTCCTGGGGGAATACAGAGCCGTTATGCAGCGATGCAGCAAATGAGTGGTCTCAGGGCTGAGACCACCCCTGCAAGCCAGCTCCTACACCTGGGGGTGATGTCCCCCTGATCCCACCACCGGCACCTTCTGGGGTGCTGGGGCACCCGGCTCCCCTTTGGGACCCTAAGACACCCCTATCGGCCCGCAGAAGCGAGAGGCCTTTTGCCAGTTGCTGCAGCTGATGAAGATCCAGCACTCCAACCTGGATGAGCCTGACCTCATCTCGGTGTACGTCGGGACATGGAACATGGGTAAGGGGCCAAGATCAGGTCGCACTGTCCTGGGAGGCTGTCGTGGCTCATCGTGAGCCCGGGTGGGTTTTGGGAGGTGAGGGCTGCAGGAAGCTGTCCCAGGAAACCTGAGGTCCGAGCTGGTCCTCGGTGGGAGGAGGCTGGAGAAGACCCCAGCCTGGCTGCTTTCGGGTTTGTCTGTCTCATCATGATCCACTTCCCTGGGGGCTGTCAGGGAAACAGAGGAGCTGGGGTACTGGGAGGGTTTCGGGTGGTATCAGTAAATCCCAGCATCAGTCTGGGCTGCAAGCATGGGGCTGGCACGATGCCTCCTGTCCCCGGTGGCTCCTGGAGATGCATAGGGACTGGGGTTGGAGAGCAGCTCGAGGAGCCTGGCATGCTGTCCCCGCTCCGGTGACCCGCTGTCCCCTGCCCGCAGGCAGCACACCACCGCCCCGCTCCCTCGCCTCCTGGCTGACCTCGAGGGGCTTGGGGCGCACGCAGGATGAGACCACTGCCTGCATCCCCCACGACATCTACGTTATTGGCACCCAGGAGAACTCCCTGGGCGACCGCGAGTGGGTCGAGTTCCTCCGCGCATCTCTGAAGACCCTGATGGCCATCGACTACCGAGTGGTAATGGCGGGGCGCAGCCTGGACCCCTCCGGCTGTGCCTGGGGAGGCACCCGGTGCTCAGCAGGCTAAAGACATCCCCCGGCAGTCTCGGGGAGCTGGTTGCCAGCAGCCATAGCCCCAGGGCTCTTACCCAGGGTCCTCTCCCACCCCAAATGCAGCCCAGGGAACCTCCTGTGCCCCATGGGCTCTGTGCAGGGAGTGCCCTCCCCAGGAGCCACATTTCAGGGGTGGGTTGGCTCACCTTGCTGCTTCTCTGCCCCCACCGCCCCTCCGCAGATCGCCCTGCAATGCCTCTGGAGCATCAAGATCGTGGTGCTGGTGAAGCCCGAGCATGAGCGGCGCATCAGCCACGTCCACACCTCCAGCGTGAAAACTGGGATTGCCAACACGCTGGGTAGGGAAGGGGCTGGGGCGGGGGGAATGCCCTAGAGCGAGGGGACAGGCTGGGGGCCATCCCAGGACCTCTGGGCCCCCCCAGAGCTCAGAGCCTGGCACATCTCTGCAGGGAACAAGGGAGCTGTGGGCGTCTCCTTCCTCTTCAACGGGACATCCTTCGGCTTCGTCAACTGCCACCTGGCCTCTGGCAGTGAGAAGACCCACAGGTGATGGAGGGGCTGGAGGGGATGGGGCTGGCCCAGGGCAGGCGGGTGTCTCAGCGGGCTGGGGGAGCCCTGAGGGGCTGTGGGGCTGTCCCTCTCCTGTCCCCAGCTGGCAGGTGCAGGATGAGGATGAGGATGAGGTGTCCCCGGGGTGGCTCACACGGTGCTGCCCTCACCCCCGCAGGCGTAACCAGAACTACAGTGACATCCTGCGTTCCCTGGTCCTGGGTGACAAGAGGCTCAGTGCCTTCGACCTCACCCTGCGCTTCACCCACCTCTTCTGGTTCGGGGACCTCAACTACCGCCTGGAGATGGACGTGCAGGTGGGACCCTGCAGGCACCATGGCTGGGGACGGTGGCACACTCGCGGCAGCACTGGTGCAGCCGCAGGGGTGAGAGGAGCCGGGGCTCACTGCACCTTCCTCCCCCGGCACAGGACATCCTTGCCCATGTAACCAAGAAGGAGTTTGAAGCCCTCCTGGCTGTCGACCAGCTCAACCTGGAACGGGAGAAGAACAAGGTGTTCCTGCGATTCAGTGAGTGCAGGGGCAAAGGCACCGCTCCCCCCACCGAGATAGCGGCACCCAGGGTCCCGCAGACCTCTCCCTGTGCCACCTCCAGCGCGCAGCGGTGCCCTGTCCTGGCACAGCCCTGCGCGAGGTGCCAAAAGCCTGGGGAACATCAATGTGCACCATGCAAGCCCCCCAGAGCAGGTCCCTGGGCTCTGCGTCCCAAGAGCGTGCAAGCACGGGGACAGTCAGAGGGGCCAGGGGCGCCAGCCGTCTGTGTGAGCCCCGGGTGGGGACTGTGACACTCCATGGGGCCTCTCCCTGGCCGGCTGCAGCTGTGGGGACAGGCAGGGATGCTGGTCCCTATGCCACCTCTGTGTCTTGGTTCCCAGGCGAAGGTGACATCTCCTTCCCGCCCACATACCGCTACGAGCGGGGCTCCCGGGACAGCTACATGTGGCAGAAGTTCAAGCCCACGGGGGTGAGTTCCCGGAGCCTCCCGCCAAGCTGCAGGGCATTACTGGCGTACGGGGAGGAAGGACCCAGGAGGGTCTGGGCAGGAGGGAGCTTGCTTTCTGGGCTGCTTTTCTGGGCTGGGGGAAGTCAGACCCAAGGGGGCACTGAAGCCAGCTGCTTTCCCCATTTTTAGATGAGGATCAATGTCCCCTCATGGTGTGACCGCATCCTGTGGAAGTCACACCCAGAGACCCACGTGGTCTGTAATTCCTACGGTGAGTGAGACCCTGCGGCTGGGGGGACCCTGGGGTGGCCAACGCTGCCCGGGACCCCGGGGCTTGGGGACCATCACCCAGTTGCCCCCTCCTGCCACCCAGGCTGCACGGATGACATCGTGACCAGCGACCACTCGCCTGTCTTTGCCACCTTCGAGGTGGGAGTGACATCGCAGTTCGTGCCCAAGAAGGGTAAGGGGTTGGGGTCTGTCACCCCCCGCGCCCGGTTTGGGGTGAGCCCTGGCCACGGGTGCTTGGCCAGCGCACGCTGACCCGCTGGTGCCTGCCCGCAGCTCCTGGATCCGGCCCCGAGCCCCTGGCCTGCATCGAGTGGGAGAGCATCGAGGTGATCGTGAAAACCGCCAGCCGCAGCAAGTGCTACATCGAGTTTCATTCCTACTGCCTGGAGGGTGAGGTGGCCCCGCGGGGCCGGGGGGCCGGGGGTGTGCCACAGGGCAAGCCGGCCCTGGCTGGAGCTGTGCCCCCCGCTCTCCCCTGGCAGAGGCCCAGCGGAGCGGGGAGAACACCTCCCAGAGCTGCGATGTCCCGGGCTTCCTCAAGCTGGGCTGGTCCGCAAAGCATCTGCCTGTGGTACGCACCGGGGCAGGGGGGCAGCCGCTGGCCCCCCCAGCCCTCCAGCATCCTCCTCCCTCCTCTTCCCCATCCCTCCCACTGGCTCTGGACTCTGAGCCCCAAAGGGTGCTGGGGGCTGTCACCATCCCGCTCCGGGACAGAGCCACCCCTGTGCCACCCTACCCTGCGGCAGCCCCCCGAACACCGCTCCTCTCTCCACGTGCAGCTGAACCCCATCCTGCCGGACCTGGAGTACCTGGGGGACCAGCACTTGCTCCTCAGCATCAAGGGCGTGGAGAGCTGCGAGTCTTACGGTGCGTGCGAGACGGTGGCGTGGGGGCCACCATGGTGGCGTGGGGGGTGCCAAGCAGAGCCCCTGAGGGGCTCAGGCAGCAGCCTGCTGGGTGTAAGGTTTTGCAGCTGGAGCTTGGCAGAAGGGACCCTGGCACCCACCCGGTTCCGGGGCTCGCCTGCCCCCCGAGCGGCCCGGGGGGCTAACGCAGGCATGTGCTGTGCCTGCAGGTGAGTGCTGCATCGCCATGAGGTCAATGATCGGCAGCATGGCCCAGCAGTTCGAGACCTTCCTCTTCCACCGCGGCGAGGAGACGGGCTCCATGCGCGGCTGGATGAAGGTCCGGGTGCCCAAGGACAGGAGGAGCACCCGTGAGAGGCTCTATGGTAAAGGCGGCCGCATGCCAGCCCCCTCCCATCGCCCTGGGCATGGGGGCTCAGGGCCACGCTCGGGCACAGTGTGGCCGAGAGCTGACCATGCCCACGCTGCCCTCCTGGACCCCGGCTGTGGGCAGGGGCCATGTGGTGCATGGTGGGGAGAGGGCAGACTTCGGTGCCTTTGCAGAGTGGATCAGCTTTGAGGAGGAGGATGCCGAGCCAGCAGCAGATGCCCCAACATGCCCCAAGCCACCCCCGCAGCGCCTCAGGTACCCCAGCCGGGCTCAGCCCCGCCACGAGCCCCAGCCGTGGGCTGATGCTGAGCCTTCTCCCGCTGTGCTTTGCAGGAGCCGGCCCCGCAGCCTTCCAGAGCCGGCCGCTGGCTACACCAACCCAGCCTACTTCATCTTCGAGGGGGTCCCCAACATGTGGGTGCCGGCGCCCAGCACTGGCAAAGCCCATGACAAGCAGGCGGAGAGCCCGGCCGGGGGCCAGCGGCACCGGAGCCCCCTTGGATAGCGGTGGGGCGGCCAGCCCCACTGCGTGACAGGGGGCCTGTCCTGTGGGCACCCACTCAGCCCTGCCGGCGTGGGCCGGCAGAAGAGACCCAAATCGGAGGTTCTGGCAAGTGACACACCGGGGCTGGGCGACTGCTCGCTGACGGCACTGCACATGGCCACCTGCCTGAGCCAGCTGGACCGGGCATCCCCTGAGCGCAGAGGGGACAGCCAGAAGACCCTGCTGCGCCAGACCCACAGTGCCCTGGAGCCGCCCCCGCGGCCCTGCCGGGAGGTGCTGAGGTGCACAGTGGATCCTCGCCACCATGACCGCCCCGGAGAGGTACTGCTGTGGTTCCTGCGGGGCTCTGGAGCTCAGCTGGGGGGGTTGGGGAGCTCAAGGAGGGGAGGGGACCTGCTTTTGGCTGTGGGGCCACCAGCAGATGCGGAGTCCCATCCCCATGGCAGTGCTCTGCCTGGTGGAGCCACCGCGGCACGAGCAGTGGGATGCGTTGGAAGGTGGAGGAGCAGCAATGTGCCTGGTTCATGCGGGATGACGACGTGAAGGTGAGGACTTCGTGGTCCTGGTGTGACACTGTTGGCGTGTGTCCTTGTTGTTCTTTCCCCAGTGGCCCTGCGACAGGGGCGAGCGGTCCCGTGGTGTCGGCGGGTGCCTGGGCCACCTCGGCTTGCAGCAGGACGTGGAAGGGCTGCAGGAGCATGGCTGGGACCACCTGGAGATCTTCAGGTACCCCCGAGGCCTGGAGCTTGGAAAGGGGGGCACTGGGCAGGCAAGCTCCTGTGGCCCTGGGGTCCCTGGCAGAGCCCCATGCCCCAGGAGGGAGGAGAGGTGAGCCTCGGGGTGGGGATGCAGCAGGGCAGGGGTAGGAGGATATCGAGTCCCCAGATCCCCACAGATGCCCCAGGGCCACATGGGGTCCCCGCTCCCTCTCGGTGGCATCCCCAGCCCTTGCTACCCCCACCCCGTGCACAGAGACATCACGGAGCGGGACCGGCTCGAGGCTGGGCTGCTCAGCCCGACCCATCCCCAGCTCATCCACGGCAAGCTCGGCGAGGGCACTGCGGTGAGCCTGCCGCGGAGACCTGACCTCGGACCCAGCACCTAGAGCACCCATCCCCGCCCCAGCACCCGCCTGTGCTCTCCTCCGTGGAGCTCCTGGGGGAGGCAGAGAGCTGCTGAGGAGGACTGGGCAGGCAGACACCCAGGACTGGACCTATTGGCCATGCTCCCAACTTGTCTGGCCTCACCAGCAAGTGACTGGAGTTTCTCAGTTGGAAAGACTCAGGAAGCTCCTGTGGCCACTGGGACTGACACTTTCCAGGTCTCGCTGCCTGTCTCCCCCCTCCCTTCCCAAAGCGACGGAAGGACCATGCTGAGCCCCACCAGCAAGGAGGGATGGGGGACAGGGAAGATGTTGAGGCCACTTAGGAAGTGGAGACTGCTGGGTGCTTTGGACCTTGAGGCTCAGCCTCTCCCGATGGCCAACGTGCAGCCTGCAAAGGGCACAGCGGCATCTGTGGCCAGCCCAGCCCCGCACACCCTCGTGCCTTTGGCCTCAGCGGCTGCTCCCTCCTCCCCAGGCTCAGCCCTGGTTGGACGGCGTTCCCAGAGAACTTCTCCTACAGCAGCTGCTCCGGAGGCTACAGCACCGTCTTCTTACAAGGTGGCCCTTGCTATCCCTATCCAGAATAAAGACTCAGGGACGCTGGGGTGCATGTGTGCAACGCCTGGTTCTGCGCCGGAGCAAGGAGCGAGCGTGCCAAGCCGAGCAGAGCTGCCAAGCCAAGCGGAGCCAGGCAAGGCGGTGGGGAGAGCACTGGCTGCCAGCACCCCGGCTGCTCCAGGAGCATTCCTCCCCACCTCCCCTGTTTAATCTGGGACCCTGCAAACCCCAGCCCTTGAGGCTGCCCTTACCTGGTGTCCCGCGGGGCTCCCACGCAGGGCGGGTGGTAGGGTTCCCCTCCAAACGTGCCAACTCTGCCTGCTCAGCCCTGCACACCAGAGACCCCACGCTCTCCCTCTGTGGCCGAGCATCCCCGGGCTGCCCCTCGCACCTCTGCTCCCCCGAGCCAGCCCGCTCTCAGCCGCGGTCCCCCACATCTCAGGGTGTGTCCGTTCACCGCCGGCGTGCCCATCATGCGGCGTTCATCGCAACGCCGACATGTTTGCACAGCACCCACCCTTCGCCCACCTGCACGCTCGCAAAGGAGTTAAATCCCCCTGACCGGGCACAGCTCTGCAGGCAGCGGGGGCACTCGCTCCCCCCAAAACACGAGGACACCCCGATCCAGCAGGGCCCTGGCCGCTGCAACACCTGAGGTGGCCCTGTTTTTGGGGACACTATGCCCAGGCTGGCCTCAAGGTGGCAGTGGCCACCTTTGTCCCCGGGATTGCCCTGCAGGGCTGGGGTGCCAGCAGGGCAGCACCCCAGGGTGCAGGCACTGCCGGGACACGTGTGGCCCCCGTGGGGCAGGGAGGCTGCCCTGGGGTGGGCGAGGGACCGCGGTCCCCAAGGATGGCGGCTGTGGTCCCCACGGACAAGGGGCCATGGTCACCATAAGTGAGGGGCCATGGTCCCCATGGCCAAGGGTCCTTAGCCCCCACGGGGAAAGGGCTGCGAGCCCATGGGGGAGGCCCACGCGTCCCACATCTGGGGGGCTGCTGCGGGGGCTGCAGATGGCCCAAAGCCTGTGAGGACGATGGACGGGACAGGAGTGCAGTGGGGCTGAGCCCTGCAGGCAGCCCCTGGGGCGGGCAGGGACACGGGCAGGGACGCTGCGGGCTCCTGCCCACGCCTCTGCCCGCCTCCAGTCCTGCCTCTCCCGGGCACTTTGCTCCCAGCGGTGTGAGCGCAGGAGCGGGCACAGACGGCACAGCGCGACGAAGGGCAGCCCGCAGCCCCGCCAGCATGGCCCCCGGCCCCACGGGGGATGGCCGCTCCCCAGGGGTACCCCACTCCTGAGAGCTGCCCCAGCCCAGGACTGCAGGTGAGCAGGGCCAGCCCACGCCTGGTGGAGGGCAGCAGCCGGCACGGCCCCACCACAACCGTGACATGGCCACACAAACGCAGCCGGGCTTTGGGGGGCCCTGTGGGGAGCAGCTTTGGCCCCACGAGGGACAGAGGGGGGATCCTAGGGGCCGGATGGGTGGGGGGCAAGGGTCAGACAGTTCTCCCCATCCCTCCACCATCCCCAAATCCCCCCATGCATCCTCTTCCCTAACATGCCATTGCCTTCCTCCATCACTAAGGGCCTTCATCCTTCCTGGTGCAGCCACCTCCTCTCCTTCATCTTCCTCTGCATCCCTCAAATCGCTGCCTCCTCACAGGGCGAAGCTGCCCCTTGGGCTGCCGCAGCTTCGGGCTCCTGCCCTTCCCCGGAGAGGTGGAGGGAGAGGGACAGCCCACCCAAGGGCAAAAGCAAACCCTCACCTCCCACCCCGCTGAGAACGGGGGTCACCTTGGAGCAGGTGAGGTGGTGGGCAGCGAGGGAAGCGCCCGGTCCCGCTGGTGTCCCCGGGGAGGAGGCACCGGTGCCGGGGCAGCACAGGCAGATTCACGAAGGGTTGAAAAGAAATTAGGTCATGCCCACCTTGTGCCGGGGCTTTGGCTGCACAAACCACGTGGCGATTAGGGACAAGGGTCCTTCTGCAGGATGTTTTGCATAATTTCCCCTTGTTTTGCAATTTCTGAGAGCTTAAGTCAGAAGAAAAGCCCTGTTTTTCCTGTGCTCCAGCAGCAGCTGGTCCCAGGGTCACCCAGCCCCGCGTCCCTCGGCAGTCGCTTGCTCCCCTCCGAAATCCACTCTCCCAGCCCCTCTCTGAAGCTCCTGCCCACTACACCATGATCCCCGACTCCCCATCCCATCCTGCCAGCGGGCAGGACTTGGGCTCGGGGACAGAGTCTGCCTTTGGCATTTCCCATGCCCGTGTAGATCCTCAGCCAGCTGCTGGGGCACCCCAGGCTGGGAGCACCCCAGGCTGGGGGCGGCCGCTGGCTCCCACCAGAGCCGGTGCTGCCCGCGGGGCCGAAGGACGGGTTCAGGCTGGGCACGGCCGCGGGGCCAGGAGCCAGGGCAGAGCTCCCGTTCCTGCGGCAAAGGGCCAAGGGCAGCATGCGTCCCCCAACACATGGCCCCGTGGCCAGTCCCTGCCCCTTTCCACTGGCGGATGGCTGTGCCGGTGTTTTGCAGGACCCGTCGCTGCTTCCCAGGGCACGTGCGGGGGCCAGCCCACAGGCACTGTCCCAGGGAGATGTGCATGCCATGGGCAAGGGATTCCCCAGCATTGCAGCCTTCGTGCATCCAAAACAGGCAGGGCAGGAGCGGGCATCACCTCCCCAGCTCCACGTCCTTTCCCTGCAGTGCCTCCCACCTCCCATTCCGGCAGCGAGCCCAAATGCTCAGCTCAGACCTCACCGTGGCTGCGGTCAGTCCCTACTTGAAAAGCTCACGCTGGAGAGGCCATGGCCAGGGAGAGCCTTGCTGGGGACGTCAGCGAGGAGTAGGGACAGGCCGGGTGGTGACGTGTCCTCAGGGTGAACTGATGTGAATCAGTAATTCAGACCACTGATTTTGATCATGACTAAGATGAGGAAGCAGGAAACCTGTTGAGATAAAGCTTGTCAAATATCTTCTTTTGCATTTTTATTTTTTAGTGGTTATCCCCAAAGGAAGCTTGCTTAAATCACGCTGCTGAGCACTGACTGTGCTCGGGCTTTATCAGCTGGCAGAAGCCACATACCTGCGCTCTCCTCCAAGCAGCCCAGCACCACGTGGCTACTTGGGCTCTTTTCCCTTATGTGTTTCTTACACCAGATTATTATTTTTTATTTATTGGCTTCTTCTTACCTTAGTTGTTTGTTGGCCTGTGGCATGGGCATTGGCTTTGGTCACTGAACCCTGCGGGCTCAAGGCTTCATGCTCACTGACACTCAGAGGTTAGAAGAGGAAAAGAAATCTCCTGGTGCCTTGTGTCCTCGGCAGTGTCATGGCTTGGGGAGACACAGCCACAGGGCTGGGACCAGCAGGACCAGCACAATGTTTCCTTTGGCTGAGCCAGCCCCATGGGACCACTGCTGGCACCAGTGCTCAGAGGCTCGGGGGTTCCTACCAGCTGGTTTTCCCTCCTGGTTCTGGGAAAACAGACCAAGTTCTTCCCACTGTTAATGTTTGATTAGGACCTGCCTGTTGCTCTCTGAACTCATCCCTGTAATAAAGCCAGGCAGCTGCCCGCGCCAGCCGCGGCAGGAGGGGAGCTGCGGGGTGTATGATGGGAGCCCAAAGCTGCAGCTCAGCCCACAACTCAAACAGAGAGCGCAGAGGTGCGTGCGGCACAGAGGGGCCGGTCCCGCGGCCACCCGCTTGCCCATCTGCCTGCTGATTCATTTATGACCACCTCTGTAAACCCAGGGATGTCTCTCCAGGAAGAAGATGGATCGCAGCTCAGCTGACCCCATGGATACACCCTGCAGGATATTCCTGCCAACGGTGCTTGTCACGAGAAGCCATCAGGCTGCACGTCTCAGTGGCGAAGGCAAGGGGCAAACAGAAGGGGGATGATGAGGGAGCCAAGGGATGAAGGAGCCTGAGAGGACTCGGCCTTCTGCCTTGTACCACCACCACCAGCATCCCACACATCTCCCTGCGAGTCCTCCTCCACCCTGGTGCCCATCACCTCCTGGGTGAGCTCGGGACCAACAGAAACTGGAGACACGCCAGAGCTCCCTCCATCAGATACGATTTTGCCTACACCCTCATCTCTGCCCACAGCACGGCAGATGCTCCTGCTCCCAGGTTGCTCATCCGAGCATCCATCCTCACCAGCAGAAGCAGCTGTTCCGAAATCGCTTTCCCAGGGATGGTGGCAGGCATGGAGGGGCCAAGGCAAGGGCAGCCTTCACCAGTCCTTTGCTGGACACTACGATGGTGGCAGGAGCTCCCTCTTCCCTCTGGAGGAGAGGGCTCTGAACTTTAGAGATCCCGAGAGGTGAATGCAACCCTTTGACAGCAGATCCCAGCCTTCGATCCCAACAACGTGCGCGGGGAAGCGTCCTGCCTGCCTCGTGAACTTGCGCTGTCTTGGGCTGGGACTTGGCTCCGGTGCAGCTCCTCTCCGCAGGGCTTAGATCATCCCTCTCCTACGGAGAATACCCGGCAGCTGGAGGCCTCTCGCCGTCCAGGGACACTCTCTCCCAAAGGCTCCTTTACCAGCCCCCCGAGGATTTCTCCAGGCCATAATATTCCCCCAGACAAGCCTTTCTTCTCCTCCTGCCTTTCTTCTGTCAAGGAGCCCTCTGGGACGAGCAGCATTGTCAGGATGGTGCCAATTAGGCTGAGCCAGCTTCCAAGAGGCTGCGCTGGCACCGGCCGGGGGCTGCTGTTGCTCATAAAGGTCTCATTGTTTGGCGCGCCGTGGGGCTGCTGGCCGGCGGGGCCGGCGCGGTCCTCTGTCTCAGGCACGCTTCCCGGCTCCACACGGCGCTGGTGTCACTGCGCGCTGCTCAAAGGGATGATTAACGGGTGTCGTTGTGGGGGCTGCAAAGGGGAGGATTTGTTAAGCCTCCCTCGGCTCCCCGCGAGGCCCGAACGCGCGAGCTGAGAAAAACCAGAGAACCATCAAAGTGGCCGGAGCTCCTGGAGGGGGGGAAAATCTGGCATCTTTGGCTCCCTTCCACACTTTGTGCCTGACAAATGGTCAGGATCAACGACTAATGTGCTTTTATTAACTGCTCCCCTAGATCTGGCTCGGAGAACATGGCCACTTCAGTGAGGACGTTCCCAGTTGCCCTGTGGACACCAACACCAGCTCCCTGGCCAGGAGGAAACACCACTGCAGCGGAGGAGGCAAAGTGCGTCTTCAATGAGGAGTTCAAGTTCATCTTGCTGCCTGTCTCCTACAGCATCGTCTTCGTGGTGGGGCTGCCCCTCAACTCCTGGGCCTTGTGGATCTTCATCTCCAGGATGAGGCCCTGGAATGCCACCACCACCTACATGTTCAACCTGGCCGTCTCCGACACGCTCTACGTCCTCTCCCTCCCCACCCTGGTCTACTATTACGCCGACCGCAACAACTGGCCCTTCGGGAAATGGCTCTGCAAGATCGTGCGCTTCCTCTTCTATGCTAACCTCTACAGCAGCATCCTCTTCCTGACGTGTATCAGCATCCACCGCTACGTGGGCATCTGCCACCCCATCCGCTCCCTGAAGTGGGTGAAGACCAAGCACGCCCGCATCATTTGTGTGGGTGCCTGGCTTGTCGTCACTATCTGCCTCATCCCCAACCTTGTCTTTGTCACCACCAGCTCCAAGGGCAACAGCACCCTGTGCCACGACACCACCAAGCCCGAGGATTTTGACCATTACGTGCACTACAGCTCCTCCGTCATGGCCCTCCTCTTCGGGATCCCCTTCCTGGTGATTGTCCTGTGCTACTGCCTGATGGCCAAGAGACTCAGCAAGTCCAGCTTCTCCAGCCCCGGCCCCCGAATGCCCTCCTACAAGAAGCGCTCCATCAAGATGATCATCATCGTGCTTACTGTCTTTGCCATCTGCTTCGTGCCCTTCCACATCACCCGGACCATCTACTACACCTCCCGCTACTTCCAAGCTGACTGCCGGACCCTCAACATCATCAACCTCACCTACAAGATCACGCGGCCCCTGGCCAGCATCAACAGCTGCCTTGACCCCATCTTGTACTTCATGGTTGGGGACAAGTACCGGGGGCAGCTGCGCCGGGGGCCAGCCCAGCGCCTCCGGCCCGTGCCCACGTGCGACCTGGCCCTGGTATCCCCCTCCGTGGACAACGTCGCAGGTGGCAGCCACGCTGACAGTGACACCCAAGAGGCAGGGACAGCACGGAGCGGAGGCGGGTGCTGAGGGGCCAAAGGGGGTTCCAGTAACCTCATCCCTGGTCTCCATGAGTTGCAGCCCCCCTGGGCTCCGCGTGGGCACCCTGGCACCCCCAGGTCCCCAAACCCGACCTGCTCCTGCCCAGCCTCCGCAGGGGCTGAGACCACAGGGCTGAGGGCCAGTGGCCATGGGGCTTGTCCCAGCCCTGCTCCAGGATGCCGTGGGAGGAGGGTGCCGGTGCTGCTCTGCTCCGGGCAGGACAGGCGCTGGGCACCCGTGAGAAAGCCATTTTGGGGAGAAAGGCTGGCGTCCTATCCCAGGGTGCTCCTGAGGACACAGGGGGGCCGACGGGTCACTAAAGAGAAGAGACACTGGTCCCTCCCTCGGCATGCACAGCCCCGCCAGACAGTGGCATGCGGGGACCGGACTGAACCTGGGGATGGAGCCGACGCTGGGACCCCTGCTTGCCTGGTGGAGGCTCTCGGAGATGTCCCTGTCACACTGCTGGCCTTGGGAGAGACGGGGAGGGATGCGGCACAGGGCACTCGCTGCCCATCACCCCCCAGTAAAGCCCCTTCCCCTTTCTCTACGCTCAGGCCTGTTTCTTCCCATAGCAGAAGGAAGAGGGACGAGATCCCCACCCTCACCCCAGAAAGCATTTGAGAGCAGAGAAAAGCCACCCTGCACCTTAGCACGGCACAGGTTCAGAGCGAGGGGCCGGAGCGGTGACACCCGCAGCGATGGGAGAGTCCTTGGGAATCTGCCTTTATGGGTGTTTGCTTTCCAAATGTTTACCCAGCCCTTTTGTTTGAGCAAGGGCCCGCGCAGAGGGGAGCGGACCAGAGATGGCTATCAGCACTGCTGACTCTCCCACGCCAGCCCGGCCAGGGACGGGACGGGACAGGGGTGTCTCCACCACGGGGAGCCCCAGGAGGGGGCCCCCCATTGGCCCCCACGAGTCCCACCAGCCAGTGCCAGGGAAGGGATGCCCATAGCAGCATCGAGGTGTCACCCCCCAGCCACGGCCATGGCCACACACAGCCACGTCCCGCCGGGAGCTGCCCAGGTCACCCGGGGAGGGAGAGGGCCCCAGGGATGCCACGTCCCAGCCCCGCATCCCCACCCCACCAGACAGAAGTACCCAGGGAGCCCCTCACTCACCACTGAGCTGAACGCAGAAAGAGAAGGAGACCTCCCTCCTAAGCCTAGTTAACCCAGTAAGAGCAGCTGCTGCCCCTCACCTCCCATTATACCCAACGTGGCCCAGGTGGAACCAGGAGCTGCTCAGTTGCACCTGAGTGGTGCAAGGGTCCCCGCCAAGCACGGCCTCAGCCCTGGAGATGGGGCTGCTGGGGGGGACACGGGTGGGTGGCAGGTCCACCCACATGGGGAGCGCAGGGGGACAGCTGCAGTGCCACCGATCCTGTCCCCAGCACACACAGGCGGCGGCAGGGGTCTTGGAAGTCTGTATTGGGTACAGAGGCGGCGGAGAAGGCTCATCTGGGGCCAGAGCAGCACCCGCCCCTTGCCCAGGGCAACACAGTCCTGGCTGAGGCCACTTCACGGGTCCCCAGGTCCGGGAGTGCCCCCCCCACGCCCCAGGGGGGATGTCTCCCCAGCCTGGTCCCGCTCACCCTCGGGATGCCACCCCAAAGGGCCTGTCTCGTTCCCTCCTGCCACGACACCCCCTCCCTCAGCTCGTGGTGTCCCGGTTATCTTGTGGGGACCATGCCCATCGCCGGCCCCCAGCCTTGCACCAACCCCCCCATCAGCCCCACGTCCTCAGGGAACAGCCATGTCACCCGCGGCCCCTCCAGACCCCTTTCAAGGGGGACCCTTTCCCACTCTCCCTTTCCCCTCGCCTCCTCCTCCCACCTCCCGCTCAGTTTTTTCGGCCAGAGAAGCGGAGGGCCAGAGTGGGGACTGTCCCCTGCGTGTTCCCCGTGCCGGGCTGGCTGAAATCCCCACCCGCAAGAGCCAGCTGCCCTTGTGAGCCAGGATCTGGCCGCCGGCGCTGGCCGCACTCAGAGGATGTGTAGCTCGTCCGTCTCCAACAGCCCGTACTTGGTCTTGTTCTCATTGAAGAGCTTGAGCAGGGAGCGGATGTACATCTCGTGGTACATGTCCACCGTCTCGCAGCTCGGGTCCTCGATTTTGGGCACCGTCACCGGCTCTCCCACTGCCGGGAGGGGAGGAAGGTCAGGCCGGTGGCACGGGGATGCACTCGGCTCATCGGGGACATGAGCTGAGCGTCGCCTTCCAACGCCACCCGTCGCAGGGTGTCGTCCTCCTCTGCCCCTCCACCTTCTGGGGGTCCCCTCTGCCCCGGCGGGCGATGCTCACCCACAGTGGTGATGGGTCTGGCGTAGGGGAGGAAGCCCCGGGACCGGACAGAGGTGAGACCCCGGCCATAGAAGACGCAGGGAGCGAAGCCCATCATCTTCTGGAAGCGCTGCTGGATGCTCCTCATCCAGCTGCCCTCCTCAAAGACCACCTGGCGGAAGAGGTCATTCTCCCCGAAGGAGAAGGAGGGGACGAGGTAGGCCCTGTGGAGGGGACACGGTGGGTGGTGCCGGGGTGCCAGGACCCCCGGACCCCTGTGGTGGCGGTGCTGCCCGTGACCCACCCGTGCTGCAGGGCCATGCGGACGAAGCCCTTGCGGTTCTTCAGGATGAGCGTGGTGACGCCGGGACGGCAGGAGAGCGATTCGGCCGCACCACCGATGACAATGGCCACCGCGTTGCCGGTGCCGTTCTTGGACAGCAGGTACCCGATGGCACGGCGTGTCACCGGGCAGAGGCCTGCGGTGGAACGGACCACCGGTGCTGTGGGACTGCCTGCCCCTCCAGCGCCCCGGGGGACGGGGACCTTGCAAGGGACCCCGCAAGGGACTGTGCCTCGTGGGACCGTGCGAGGACCATGCAAGGGGCCATGCAAGGGACGGTGCAAGGACCACGCAAGGGGCCATGCAAGGACCTTGCAAGGACCATGAAAGCACCATGCAAGGGACAGTGCAAGGACCATGCAAGGAACCGTGCAAGGGGCAGTGCTAGGGACAGTGCAAGGGACAGTACAAGGACCATGCAGGGGACAGTGCAAGGGTGCCCCCTGCTGCGGGAGAGCTCCCAGGGCGGGGTGGGGTCCCCCCGGGCTGCCAGCCCTGTGGGCAGGGCACGGGCAGGGCGCAGGCAAGGTGTAGGCAGGGTGCGGACAAGGTGCTGGCAGGGTGCAAGCAAGGTGAGGTGTGGGTGGAGTTCAGGCAGGGTGCAGGCAAGCTGCAGGCAGGGTGCAGGCAGAGCACCGCCCCTGCCCTGCCTGCTGCTGGGGAGCCCAGAGGCCGTAGGTCCCGGGTTTCCCACAGATGGGAGCGGGGAGCCCCCCAGGAGCCCCCTGCCCGTGGGCATTGCCCCCGCCGTGCTCTGACCCTCGGTGGCAGCAGGCAGAGGTGGGCAGGAGCGGGCAGGCAGGGGGAGCGTCCCCGGGGCACCCGCCTAGCTCAGGCCAGCACAATGGGCCCTGCCTGCAGGGCTGCCCGTGAGGGCAGGGTGGCAGGCAGCTGCCCGCCCTGCTGCCCGCGGACGCTCACCCCCACTCATCAGGTACTCCCTGAAGATGGGCAGGCGAAAGTTGCCGGCCAGGGTGGTGAGGAAGGGCCGGATGCCCGGGAACATCTCCCAGAAGCCCGTCGAGCCCGTGATGAAGTTGCAGAAGGCGCCGACGCAGAGGATGCCGTGGGGGTGGGAGCCGATGATGTAGTTGTGGCTGGGGGACAGGTCGTGCGTCTTCACCAGCTGTGGGGACAAAAGGGGAGCGCGAGGACATAACGGTGGCACGTCCTTTTGGGAGGCACCACCACCACCACCTGCAGGAACATCCCATCCCGGCACCCCAGCTCCCCACGCCGTACCTTCACGGGGAAATAATCCCGAAAGTGCCTCCAGACGGGCCATCGCCGCAGGCACGGCAGCCTCCTGCCACCTGCAAAGCGGGGAGGGACCGCAGGAGATGACGCCCACCCCAGCGGACCTGCCGCATCCCTCTTCCCACCATGGGGGAGAGGAGGGAAGGAGCAGGTGGGACATGGCATCTGCCATGCTGGGATGCAGCCAGAGAAAGGGGGGACCCCGCATGCCATCCCACTGCAAAGCTGGAGGAAGGGGGGTTCTGCCCATCCCCACCTTTCTCCGGCGTGTCCCAGTCGAAGATGATCCAGGCCAGGTAGAGCGCGGAGATGGGCCAGAAGCTGGTGAACACCAGGTAGATGAGGATCAGCAGGCTGACGGTTCCTGCGGGAGCCAGAGAGGAGGGTGAGCAGGCCCCCCCCAGCCCCACCAGGCCCCCCCCAGCCCCGCACGGACCCATGCCTCAGCCCCGCCAGGACCCCTGGGTCCCTGCCAGGACCCTCCCAGCCCCACCAGGACCCCTGCAGCCCCCTACTCACCCAGCAGCAGGAAGCTAAGCACCCACTGCAGGACGGAGAGGAGCTGGAGCCAGGAGCGGACATCCCACTGCGAGGGCCAGGGTGCTGCGAGCAGGGTGCGCAGGGCGGTCTGGACGCTGGCGCGGCTGCCTGCGGGGAGGGACACGGCACCCAGCCCAAAACAGCGTGGGTTGTGCAAACGCTGTCCCAGCTAGCCATGGGGGTCCCGGTCCGGTGGTACCCCTGGCTGCCGGGGTTGGGGTAGGGAGGTAGGATGGGAAGGATGAAGCAGTTGGGCAAGGAGGAACGGGATGGGGTGGGGGATGCTAATCCCCAGAGAGCTCTGGACCATGCCAGGAGGTGGCCCTGGGCAACCCGAGGCTGCCCTGGGGCCAGCCCTGCTCCGAGCAGGGGGCCGCTGGCTGGCTGGGCACCCCTAAGCCCAACTGCGTCTGTCAGCCTGGGTGCACCAGCAGAGCTGAGCACCATGCTGGGCTCCCCGAGGGCCAGGACCTGTCCCGTGCCCTCCTTGGCGTGTTCAGCCTCACACAGAATTTGGGGCTTTCTCGGCTGGCATGGGACGGCGTCCACCCCCCGGCAAGTGCCAAGGACAGTGGCCAGGGGCCGAGCCAGGGCGGCCGAGGCTGGCCATCCCCACGGCCGTCCCCACCGAGCCTTGCCTCCCACGAGAGACAGTCCAGCAGCTCGCAGCCGCTCCACTCCCCCCGCCGCCCCCTTCCCTCCAGCCAACCTTGGTGAAGCATTAACCGCCCCGGGCTGGGCGCCAGGATCCAAACTCCACGGGTGGCCCCATCCCTCCTCCCCGAAACGAGCCCAAGGCGCCAGTCCCGCCAGCGCACCGCTCCCAGCCAAAGGTCTGCTGTGGCTGAGACCACCTGGCATGGCCACCGCTGCGACCGCAGCGAGCTACCTCTTGTGTCACAAAAGCCTTGTTCTCTTGGGAAAACAACCCCAAATCAGCATGCTGGCCAGCCAGAGACGCTCAGGGTGACACAGGCGCAGACCTGTCCCCATGGCTCCCCGGGCCGGGCACCCTCAGGTGGGAGGTGAACCGCCGCGCCCCGGCTGGGGTGGCTGGTGGGGGTTCAACTTTTTCCATCTCAATCCAAACCATGGATGGGACAACTGAAATAAATTAAAGACTGAAGCCATCACCAGCATTGAAGAATCGTTTTCCCTCTCCCCCAAAGAGCATGCTGTGCTTCAAGTGATGGCTCTCGCCCGTCCCCGCACGCCCAGCGAGGCCTCCCCAGAAGCCCTGCCGCCCGCGCAGCCCTGCCCTTGTCAACCTTCCCAAGCCCCTTTTTTTCCAGGGAAGATGCAGAGCTCTGCCCAGCCAATTTGGGCCTACCAAACAGTTGCTTTTTTTAGTTCCTTTTCCTAGCTCCCCCCCCAGGCACTCCATGAATGTCCAGACCGCAGACAGAAAATGGAGCAACCCCGGGGGCTCTGCTGCCGGCCCCGTCCATGGCGACAGAATGCTCTTCAAACCCAGAAATTCGGACTCCGCGGCCCGGGGCAGCAAGGAAAGATGAAGGGGAATTTGCAGCACTCCGGAGCATCTTGTGGGAGTAACGTTACCGAATGCATTGTCAGAAATTTCATTCCTGTTGAGCAACTGCGTGCTCTCCTCCGGTGCCGCTAACCCCAAATTGCTCTGAACACCTCCCTTTCCCCTAAGCAGTCTAAAGCAAACAGACAATAGTGACAACGAACGCTAATTGCCTGACCAGTTCCTCGCGTCGCCAGAGTGTCAGAAACCATTCAAACACGCTTCGGAAATATCTTACCACTAAGATTTTGGGAACAGGCTGCAATAATTGTTTTCATGGTGGCAAGGAGTTCTGTGCCGGTCCCTGGTTCAGCCGGTCCCTGTTTCAGCAGGTTAGAAGGCGAGTTTGGAAATACCGGAGCGGGATTGATTGTGTATCCAGCTGCTTTAACCAGCTGATCCAAGGTAAACCGTCCGCCGCGGAGGGGAGCGGACCCGCTCCGGCCCCGGCTCGCAGAGCAAGGAGAAGAGCTGATGGTCCTGGGGAGGATGAGAAGTTGCGGCGAGCGGTGAGGAGCTGCCGTCGAGAAGGGCAGCCGCCGTGCCTGGGAAAGGCACCGCTGCCGGCAGCGGCGGCGGCTCGGTGGGGACCGCCGTCCCCCGGGAATGGTACCGTCCGCGCTTTGGGTATTTCACAAACCACTGTCGTGCTCTGCCGGTGTGACTCCCCTCCAGAGCCACCCGAAAACGTCATCCCGAAGCTCCCGCTCCACGGTACGGGAACGCAGCCTGCCAGACGGGCCCTGACCCTCAGCCCCAGCCCCCAGCCCCATCCCCTCCTCCTCCAGCCCTCCGAGGGGCACCGGGGCCAGCTGGCCCTGCCGGCTAGCCCGGGAACACTGGGGTACTGCCTGGAGAGGACTGGGGGAAAAAATGAGAAGGGAACAAGAGCAGCACAAAAGCAGCACCGAGATGGGGCTGCAGGCCAACAGCCAAAGGAACAGTAAAAATCCCCAGGAATTAATTCACTAGAACTACTTCTCCAGATCCGCCTCTCCAGAAGTACTGGCTAGGAAGAGCTGGCTAACCTCGGATGTACGAAAGGGACAAATGCACGTATAGGACTGCCTGTGTTGTTAAAGTGAAAAACATGCTTGGAACCCAGGAACCCACAAAACCTCATAATCTGCTGTGGTAGGCTGTAGAGACCCAGTATCTGGAAAAGGAACACAACAGCCTTCACAGGCAGAGATGAGTTAAGAGGAGCTGAGATTGCTACATATAAAACATCCAAGCTCTCCTGCAGCCCAGCTGGCCCCTCAGGTGTCCCTGAACCATGCAAATAGGAAGGAAAAACCCCAAATTCTTTCAGAGTCCCACTGTCCCCAGAGGCAAGGGAGCACTCTGCTGATGAACCCGACTGCGCCGAATCGAAGACCGTAAAAGCCTTGTGGCCTGCTCCAGGTAACACCCCGCCACGGAGGCGAGCAGCGGCGATGCTTGGGGTTTTTATCCCAGCATTTGTAACAGGTTTAGAAGCCCACGCTGAGCTTCCCACTGCGATTCCTCACTTTCTTGCCCAGTGAGACGCCTGCCGCACGCTGGGTCGGTGCCAGGCAGGGCAGACCGGTCGTGCCCCCTCTTCTCACCCAGTTCAGGATTAGCGCCAGCAGCTATTTCAACTAGCTTCAGAGGAATCCAGAAAAGGTTTTCACCCCTTCAGGGTTATTCTGTAAGTAGATATCAAAGCACGCTGACAACCAGGGCGCTACTTCGCTGTTGAATACGGCACCGTTTGTCCCAGGGTTGGCCCCTGTAGGGCTCCAAGAGAGGGTCCGGAGCGTGCCCATGCTGGGCATCACATTACGGACGCTACAGCCACGCAGACCCCACGGTATGCTGAGCAGAAGGACAAACATTTCTATTAAAGCATTTGTACTATGTGTAGTATCGGCACTTCAAGACATCGCCCTCGAAATACCTGATCTACTCAACACAAAAAGTCCCAAACACTTCAGCCCGCCCACTCAGGGAGGAACAGCGGGATGAGCCTGCGGAAAGGCCCAGAACGCCGGGCTGCACAGACCTCCCGGCCCAGCTGAACGCCGCGCTGCAAGCTGGTGTGTGCGGAAGCCTCGGCTGAAAAACCCGGCCAGCTGACATTGCCCGTTTGCTATCCCCAACTCCCCTGGCTGCTGGAAACCAGCCTTACAGACTTGCTCTGGAAGAGCCCAAGACAAAGAGCAAGGGATTTTCACAGCAAAAACTAGGCAGCACAAGAGGTTTTATTTTGCTTAAAATATAGAGGAAAAAAATAAATACATCCACCCACAATACAAAGAGCAGTTTCCAAATTCAGGTACTTTTCTTTCAAGGACTTCCTCTGCCTGGGAGAACAGAGGCAGCCTGACCCCTCGGAAAGAGCTCCGCCTGACAGGAGCTCTGCGGCATCACTGCACGTGACCAGCGCACTCAGTCTGACATTTAACGTAAACCAAACCGCCACGTTTACTCCTCTGACGCCGGTGCCTCCCAGAGAAGCCACGGACACCTTCGCATATGTACAGTGTATTTACTCCTCTATCTCCAGGAGACAGGCAATTCTTACAAGATTTCCAGGCCCTGCTCCCTCCACAGCGAGGGCATCAGCCCACATTCTGCCGGTTGCCATAGCCTCTTGGGTGCGTATCTTTCCAGTCATCCCAGTTCCGAGCTTTTTGAAGTGCTTCCTCATCATCCTCCTCCTCTTTTTTCTCCTGCTGCTGCTTCTGCAACTCTTCATCAGTGATACCTGCTGAAGGTCAAGAACGGGAGGGCGGGGCAGTAAGACAGTGGCAGGTCGCTAGTCAGGGTCTCAGAACAGAAGCCCTGCCAGGAGCTGGCCTAGACAGAAAGCTGGAATTGCCAACGAGCAGTCCAGCAATCTGGTTATTCTCACAGCCTAATAAAGCCTGTTCTTACCCTGAACACATCTCCGTTCACCCTCCCTCTCAAGAGGCTTCCCGAATTCTCTACTCCCATCTTGCTTTGCGCTCTGTACCTGGTGCTCTCTGAGGCGCGCTCTGAGCAGACACGACTCCTTGCCTTCTGCGCTGCTCATACCAGTCGTCCACGGTCATAGTAGGCAGCCCGGGATATCCAGCACCAAACACCCTACAGGAAGAGAGAGAGAGTCAAAGAAGGCACTTTACATTGCTACGAATGAGCAGAAACATAGACAACCATGCACAGCACTGCTCTGCAATCCAATCTGTACTATTACTATAAGGCATGTTATCAAGGAGGGCTTGAGAACAAACGTATTCCTACAGCCTGGGCCTTCACCAACAGGCTTGCCAGTAACCAAGCCATAACGGCATTTAAAGAGTTCATCCTCCCAGCTGAGAGAGGTGAGGACTGTTCTAGCGCAAAGAACCCTGAATCACTTCTCCAGCCCAAAGGAGAACACTCTGCTAGCAGGGCTTGCCAAGGAGGCCCCGGGAACTGAATTAGGCACAGCTTGGCTACATAGATGTATGGAAGGCTCAGGGCAAATAATGTCAAAAGCATGACAAGAAATCTGGTTTCTATCCCATTTTGTGCTTTAGCTGCCATACTCCTTGCAAGAATCTCATGGTGCCACAAAGCGTTAAGGTCTCGATACCCTAGGGAAAGCCTTTCAGTTAAAAACTGTATTATTGTGACTGATGATTCTCTGGTAGGTATCACATCTTCCCAGCCCCTAAGATCACTTATTTGAATTCACCGAAATCCTCCAGAGTTTACATTGGATTAAGAGACCACACTTGCTTTTCACTGCTGCCCTCTTTATTTTAACAGTGAAGAACAATCCTGTTGTATCACAGAGAGGTTAGAGGGGCAGACGAGCCTTGCCTCTCCACGGCTTACCAAACACAAGCACGTGGCCTGTAAACTAACACAGTGATATTTGCTTAATACGATCTCCTCTCCTGCCACCCCAACAGGAGGAAACAGTGTTACCTAAGGCACTGCAGCATGCTGGTAACAGAAGAAATCAGAGAAAGTTCAAGAAATGCATTAGGTGTTCCCCCCATCCTCTGCCCGGATACAACATGTGTCATCTCGACGTGACACGCTGTCTGAAAGCGACTGCTTTTCTGCATTTGAAAGAGTATCATAGGCTCGACGTGAGAACAGAGCACTGCCTCGTACTGCGTCTGAATAACCAGAAAACAACATACTTAGCCTGAGCGGCGTCCCGGGTAAGAATGAAAGGTTTCAGTGGAGCCCTGACTTGCCGAGAAGTACCGTGTGGTGGTGCTGAAGGCTGAGGATGCAAACAACAGTCACAAGATAATCGTGTAGATGAGAATCCCCTGCTCTGCTTCCCACCCCCAACACGTTAGTAAAGGTCCTGTAGAAGAGAAATGCCTCTGCTGTCAGAGCAACATCCCCAGATGGACAATTCAGGCCTTAATCCAGTTTAAATCATGAACTCCATCTGTGAGCTTCTACAAACCACTTCTCTTTGTGCCTTTGTTACACCCACTCTGATCAAAACAGAAAGCCGACAGAGCTAAACCAGATCAGCTCAGATCAAAGCATGAAATATAGCTTATTCTTCCCCGGATGAAATGCAGTACGGTCTGAAGCAAGTAGAGCTCATCATTCCCCATGATATCACCCAGGGCACTACAGAAGAGCAGACTTCTGCAATGCCAATCATGAACTGCACAAACCAGCTGTGCCAACAAAGCTGGGCTATGGTCTATGTCAGCACATTATGGCTTTTTATTTCTAAGCAGATGCTTTAGGTGAGTAACATAAAGCCCAGAAACACTGTTCTACACAGGAACTGCAGGTCTACAGAAGCTCTCAGCGGTCAGAATGGGCATTTCTGTCATGTCTGGACACTTTGTAGGCCAGGAGCGTAGGTTTGAAAGAAATCCCAAGGGTCTTCTTGTAATTTACAAACATACCTAGCTCTTTAGAGTTCAGGGTCTGGCAGAACCCAGCAAAGTGGAGAACAGCCTCTGCAAGCAGATGGTTCAGCTGCGATACTCAATGCTCTAGCACTTCACCAGCCATGGCTGTCTAGAACACGTGGCAGCACCAGACAGCGACTAACCCAAAAATCCGGCCCCTGCCCATTCAGAATTAAACCAAACCCCATCTGCTTGGGCTGTGAGCTAAATTTCCATCGAAAATTCACAGAATAAAACCTATGAAACTCTGCTGTTGAATTCCTCTGAGGTTCTTTTACCTGCAACAGGGTCTGTCATCAGGTCTAACTATCCACAGTCCCCAGAACCTGCAGTGCAAGGGAGATCTCATACCTGTTTCGCTGTACCTCTGCTCCTCAGGATGACCACTTCTTGGTCAATACTCTCAATTTCCTCAAGGCTGGTGTTGATCCACTTCTGGACTTGCAGTATGTAAAATTCCCGTATCTGATCCTCATCTGCTTTCCCGCTCTCCACAAAGGTTGTCATAGAGGCCAACCTGTTCTCCAGTTCCTTCTTCTGCTTATATCTGTCTCAAAGAGAACAAAATGAGATCATTTAAGTAACCTTTCTCTAAAACAGCCCAGATACAGTGTTTTCTAAAATAAACAATTTCCCCTTTCTTGAAACTTAATCAAATGTAGTTAGAGAGCTACCTCCTGTCCCAATCCTCTTTGAACTGCTTTTCACAGAGGTGACCGTTGCTGACCAGTGCTCATTAGGGTACACAAATCCCAGACATTCATAAAGCTCCTCATGTCTTTGACAAATCTCCCTGTGCGAGGAGGACCCACTCCTTTAACAACAGAGTCAGTCCTGCAGAAGTAAAGCAGTGGCTTACAGGAATGTACCCGTTACAAAGCGGAGGAGCACCGGCAGCGCCAGATCACGCTGCTTGTCATTTACTGATGACCTCTGACGGTGCGTAAGCAAGAGGCAAAACGCCAAGCAGGGGGATCCATCTCTCCACCTCATCTGACTGACAACAGAAGGTTTTTGACAAATGAAAACTACAGAAATCAGAACAGTTCCTCTCTGCTTAAAAAAGGCTTTGAAAATGCACGGTTATATACATACATGCAGCGCCAAAATCTTTCCCTCCCATCTTCCCCATCACTTCCATCTGTCAACTCAATTTGAGACATTACATAGGATCTTTACTACTCTTTGAAAGAGGTTTAACACGATTTCATGTATTTAGAAAGAAAATTGTATACAAAAAGGGAGGTTGTGATGGTTTACTGTTGTAATTTACGTATCTCCTGTCTGTTAAAAGCAGCTTTAAGACAACAGTTTAAATTTAGAGGCGCCTCTCTCAATTATTTTTTTCTTCTCCTAAAAGTTGAACAATCCTTCAAAATTAAGCCTCCCAGGTAAAATTAAGCAAGCCTGGCAACATTCATCCCCTGAAGAATACAGGTCTTCAACTCATCGGCTTCTTCACTGAGAAAACCAATGTAATAGCTATTTTGAGTTGCTTCTATACGACACAAAGATATCAAGAAGCTGCTTATAAGGCCGATTAAAACACTTTTCCAGTTTCCGTCTCAGGTGCTTTTGTGTGTGCGGGTTGTTTTGTAATATAATTTTGGCTTTCTAGATTTTTTTGATGTTTTCAGGAATTAGTTACTAAAGGGAAGAACTATCTATATAATACACTTCCAGGCTAAATCCTTGTGTCCCACTTCCTTCAGCTACAGTGCCACCTGAAGAACCAACAGTGAGAACCAAGGATTAGAAACCCAGGGGAGTTTCCAGGACAAGGATCATACAAGAGTCATTCTAAAAACCAAACCCATCCACAAGTGCTCCACAGAGAACCCCCAAACGCACATCTGAACCCACCGAGCTGCCGACCGCCCAGCCCTGTCCTGCAGGGAAGCAAAGCAGACCACTCCATTCCTGTTTGTCTCTACACTCCACAGCGGGGTAAGTTCTCTTCAGCTGGCCGCTGCAATCCCAGCCCGCTCCCCAGGATGCCGCAGTGCGTGCTCATTCGGAGAGCAAGGCTAAAGGCAGCTAGGATGGGACACGCCTGGAGCCGGCGTGGCAATACAGGCCTTCTTAGGAAAATTATTTTCATGCGGTCTATGCATTTTACTGAAAGCAAATATAATTGCAACATCTCACCCTGATCAAGCGCTAACCTGCTTGCGACAGAACTCACAATGCAGGCGCCTCCCGTTTGTCTCCACGCGGAAGGAGTCACGGTACAGGCCAACGCCAGCCCTCAGCGAGAGGGGAGTTCGCACGTAACCGAAGCCCTGCCTGCAGTGCCTACAACGCTCCCTGGCACTCGGGAGGCGATGTGAGCTCTCAGACGGCTGACAAGCAGCCCGCGCTGAAAAGGCTGTGCTGCGCTGACCCCAAAGGCCCCGAAGTATTCTAGCATCCCAAACCCATCTCAGTTAGGTTACTCTCTAGAACATAAGTCATATTTTTGTATTCGTGCAATTTAAACAGCTCTTGAGCTCAGTTTGGGCCTTTCAGTGCCACCACAATAAGCAACAACTTGATCGTCAAAATCCCAACTAAAGCATGACAAAGAGGCATCAATCACCTCCTTTTTAAAGATAAGCACATTGGTAGGTAACTTCCGAAGCGGGTGGCTTTACGCTGTTAGTGGTGATTTAAGAACTAATCGTAACAGCTTTTGTGCAGTTCTTCTTCAAAGACATAAATGCACCTCCCCAGCCTGCGCACGATCCAACAGCATTAAATAATATGCGGCGTGTATCTTAAAATGAATGTTTCGCGGTCAAAGTATTCCAATGTCAAGGGAAGCAGTTCTTCCCTGACAGTCCTTGTCTGTACCATCTCGCACTGCCTGAGGCTCCCCCCTTCTCTTAAACTGGTTCCCAAATGCCTTTAAAGACTGCAAAGCAAGAGCCTACCTTTCGATTTTGGCTTGCCTGCTCGCCGCCATGGCCACCAGGCTGGGCTGGGCAGCAGCGGGGCGCCCCGGGGACGGGCTCCCGGCGTCCTCCTCTCCCGGGGGGCTGGCGGGGGGCAGGTGGAAGCTGCCCAGCCCGTAGCTGCTGCAGAGCTTGAGGAAGCGCCAGAAGTGGGCCCGAGCGCTCTCCAGGTGCTCCAGCCTCCTGCTCAGGTCCACCTGCTTCAGCGTCAGGGCCCCCAGCAGGGCGGGCAGCAGCAGGTACTTCAGGTCGGCCGAGGCGATCTCCTCCAGCTCCTCGTTCTCGCTGCAAGGGGAGAGACCAGACGAACCTTCCCGTTTCCCTTCCCGCTCCGCTCCGCCCGGGCCCGGCCAGGCCCAGCCCGCTCCGCGGTGGCCCGGAGGCCCGTGTGGAGGCGGCGGAAGGAACGGAGGACCCCGGCACGGCCTCGCTGGGCCCCCCCGGGCCCGGGCCCGGGCCCGTCCCTCCGCTCCCCTGAACAGGTCCCGCTGCGCCACCATGGCGGCCGCCCCCC